ACTTTAACTTCCTATACAAATTACGTTCATCTGACAACAAGTTTGTTAAGCAATATCAGTGAATGATGTGCATTAATATGAACAATAAATAATGGTGTTATATGATTTATCAAAGAAATTCGTATGAATGCTATTACACATATACCTGTCTCTTGAAATAACAGCATCACACGTGATGTGTTATTTATGATTGCGCAGCTATCAGACTTTAATAACTGTTTATTTATAATGACAAACAAATTTTATTGACTGTGGTTAGCAAATTACAATTGACAACAACCAGAACACATTTCCGTATAATGATGTACCGCTATTATCTTCACCTCTGTCATAAACCTGTTCCCTCAAACAAACACCTGTTGTTGATGTAAATATTATAAATGCATGAAAGCGATATTCATGAGAGTCAGTGAGAGTATCTGAATATGCGAAACTATGTTCTAATGACACTATTGATGTAATTATTCATTCTGTAAATTATGTTGGAACCCTTACGCTTGAACTATCCGAGGAGTTTTGCACGAATACTTATCATTTGCTTTCAGTGCAAAATTATGCCCATTTACAGTTATAAAAAATTGATATATTCCAATTATTAACTGCTCTTTCTCTTTTCATTGCTTTTCGGTGTTTAACGTTTGAAATTCTTCGATTTCGATTGCATCGACTGACTTTCCTGAAGTTTTGGAATTCGTTTCGACTAGGTGACATAATGAGGTTGTAAATTTAAGTAAACGAAAAATTCATCGACTCTGCGTTCAACGGAATACATTTTTATAATTCAGATGAGCCATGAAATGCCAGAATCAAGAACATAATCATAATCCGACCGAATTTCAGTCGGAATTTACTGATCGAAGTTCCGTTGTTCATAGTTACTACTATATACTTATGGCGTTAATCGAACGAAAAATTGGTTGTAACCGAATTTGATGCAACCAATTTCGAGAGTCTCAGAGTTCGAGTTTTTCAAACCGATTTGAAACTTTTCGGTCGGGAATTAACGGAACTCATTTTCGTCGTTCCGAACCTCGACAGCAACTCATTATTGTCGCAAGCAGAAATTTCTTCAGAACTCACTCAGCTTTGGAACTTCGGTCGATTACCGCAGCGAAATGGAAAACGACGCTCGCAAGTTTGTTAGTGCAACGATGTTATTGTGATCGCTAATGATGTGAAATTGTGGGCGCCTTTCATGTATTTGTACGTCGCAACGCAAGCGAATCGCACATTGAATAAAGAAACGTGTGTGATTTCATTGCGCAGTGATTTTTTGTTCGATTGCATTCCATAAATCATCACAGGTCAATCACTCTTATGTGAATTACACCAATAGGCATGGCATATCTGCAGTCTAAATTGGGGTTTTGTGAATTGCACTTTTAGAACTGCATTTCTTCTTTGAACGTGAGAGCCCTTTTGATTGTTCTCTTTCTATTTCAGAAAGACCTGATTTAGGAGCTATCAGAAAAATTTCATTGATCAGGTATTAATGTGTCGACAGGTACTTATAGTATCAAAAATTTTTTACTTGTTCGATTCTATGTAACAGTATTTTTTGGATAAAGCATTTTTCCTTTAATGACTCATGCTCTTTCAAAAACGCAAACGATACTGCGATTACGATTGAGTCTTATCGAAGTGACATTTAGCTAATTCAGGTATAAAATGTTTACATTGAATCATGAACCTACTTCCTCTCACATCTTTTTGTTCAACATTCCAATCGCACTAAACAAAAGTGCAAGTCATTCAATCAGCTCGTTTAATGGTTTATTTAATGTATGATCCTTTAGTGTCTAATTTCCAAAACCTAATTGCAATTCAGATATCTTCAATCATTACATATCGATGAAGTTGCTTTTCGGATTGCTGTGCTCGTTTCTGGCATTTCCGAGTTGACGTACTTTGTGGCATTGACGCACTTACCTGAATTTAATGTGGCAACTCTGTGGAAATTTCAGTGTGCAGCTATTTTTTTGGATTATTTGGAACTTTACTATTTGTTCCGTTTTCTTACGCTCGCTATTTTATTGTGCGATTGCAAAACAGTACCTCTCGCATGTTCGGGAACGTATTTCTGGATTTTTCGAAACGTGCAGTTGTAAAGTTGCCATTTACTTCACTGATGCGTTGGAAAGTTGTTGATAAAAATCACCGTACAGCATATTACTTAACTGCAATCCATGTTCTCTGAAGAACAGACGTAATGAACAATAGCATATCAGCTGACTACTCCGATAGTGGGTGCAGAGGTTTTGAGAGAGAACAATTTGGAATTTTCAAATCATTTTAAAATTGGAAGAAATTTGAAATAGGAAGCGGTATTCCTTGAAAAATGTTAGAGTCTCATAATAACCAGCAGTAAATAGCCATATCTCGTGCGCATTATCATTTTACAATTCATATTCATGCAATCTATCAAGGACATCCTTTCAATTCACTCGAAATGGCTCCTTTCTTCTTCTTCTCAGCGTTCGACTTTATTTTTCACATTTGATTATTTGGCAATCGCCCAGTCAACTGCAAATGTCAATTCTCATTTTTAAACAATTTATTTCTTCACAACCATTGTAATGCTTTTGTTGTTGAATTCTGATCGATTCATATTTGATTTGAGTCAGTAAAACCAACGATTAATTCGAACACTTATCGATTGTTCATTCTTTTTTTATCACTCAAAAACAACAAGGTACGTAAGGAAGCAATTCCTGATTGTCAAAAATAAATATTTACTGAGACATTAATCCTGAGTGCTCAGATATCTGGTAGTGAATTGATTAAATTCCTGCAAATGAATATCTAATTCACATGTTCCTTGCCGATCTCTGCTTGATACCATAAATGAAAATTGATTATTTTGATGTTTATGCATCAAAAGTTTCGCCGATTTGCCCATCTTACAGTCAGTAATAACGCGAAGTTTGTTTGCGTAAGATTGTTTGCAATACCATGAATATCCTCCTAATCGCATTGATACATTGCGCGAGTAATCAAATAGAATAAGAGTGTTACTTATGCCTTGAACAGACTCATCGATGCCTATTATTTGAAGAACGCGAAATCAGAATTAGAAGCGTTGTGGGAAAAACAGAAATGGTTACTTTTAGAACGAACACTGAATGAATTTCCACTTCGTGTTCGAACAATGCAATTTCCGAACCGTTCAAAGAATTTATGCTTACGATTAATATGAAGCACATCATAAATTGTTGAAATTAATCCGTCAACACCAACTCATCACAGCGTGCAAAGGTTCTTGATTTGTATTGACGATGCTATAAACGTTATCAATGGACAACTCATCAACTCTTCCAATTGCAACCAGTTAGAGTCTATGCATGAATAATGCGCTTATCTTATACCTTCACAGTCTCTTCGTATTTCACAATTTCATTTCTCTGCTTTCCAGTTTTGCGCTGTGGCAGTTAGCATTCATAATTGTAAGTTTCCTTGTCTGCTAGAAGAAAGTTGATCTTCAAAATTCTTTGAAGCATTCTGATTTTTTTTGCTACACTCATATCCGTCGCATTGTGATTTTGAAGTATCAGTATTCACAACGTGATATTCAAATCATAAAAATTATATTTGTCGATTGTAGCTAGAGATTATGAGATTTCATTGACTTGAAGCATTCAGTTACAGAGAAACATACCTATGTGGAGAGTTATTAAAATAATATTCGCGACAGCTCTCTTGATTGATACGTCATTCATCTGGAATTCAGCATGAAGTGTTCATTAAGATCGCAATAACTAAGGAAAAGTCAATCGTATCATAATTATAGTCTTTATCATCTCTCTATTAAATGATCATAACAATCAACTCAGTGCAAAACAGTGATCGCCAAATTTTAATGAAATTTAGTTGGTTTAATCGCCGAATTACTTTAATTGGATTGGATTCGTTAACAGCGATTACATTCACGACGAATTTCACCAAATAACTATTCTCATAAAGTATACCAAGAACCAGAATGTTTTTATGGTAATTGTCTACGCCGTTTTAACGTTATCTTCACTCGCGATCATCGCAAAAGTTGTTGTTTTCCTTGATGCGTTCCAACAATTTCTTTCATACGAGTTTCAATGAAAGTATGTAACAATGAAAAAAACCTCACTATCAAAGCAATTATATCAATTTGTGTGCAGCCGTTGATTCGCAATCAACTCAGTAAGTGTGAACTGCTTATAGAGAGAACAACTTAAAACTGTTGATGTGCTGAACGCATCAAAAAGCCGTACTGTTTGTTTGATTAGTGAAATAGCATTAGAAATAGTACGCAACTGACATTCAGAATATGTGCCTTATCAGTCCTCAACATCATCATTGTCAATATCATCATTTTACTGATAATTGATTATGCTTAGAAGTATATGCATGATCCGAATGTTTTGTGCTTTTGGCTGCCTACTGGAAGAACTTGGAGTAACGTTTCTGCATTCGCTTAAATTCTTCATTGAATATGAAATGGTTCAATGTGATCAAAAACTGACTGAATTCTGGATGAAAGTTTCCTTCGCATTTATTTCTAGTCATTGGGCGAAAAATTCACTCGAAAACAGATTTCAATTCCACAAATAAGTGATTTATGTGACCGTTATAGATGTGAGATTCTTGGGGTAAGGCAGTGCTTTGCATAGTGATCGTCGTGGTCCCATTGATCTCACTTATACTCCCATCTTACTTCTTTTTTTCCTCGCGTGAGTTCGAAAAGGGCATCTTCGGAGTGCTTGAAGTATTTGTCGATGGAGACAGAGAACAACTGCTATGAACGTAAATAAAAAACGAGTTGCACGTGTCCACTAAGGGAATGTTCATCAATCTGTCGCAGCTGAAGCATGTGCTATCAAACAGCTCTTCAAATCCACGATTCTGTACCAATTAACCAGTTGCATAATTACTGTCATGATACGGAGGGTCTTTGGACTATCTTTTGAAATAAGTCCAAATCTAAAACAATACGTTCTTCGTTTAGGAGCGTTCGGTTTGACGAGGACATGTCGGACCGGGAGGCCGCCACAGACGGGCTGAATTTGGTCAGTAAATTTGCCGGTGAAGCTTTTGGTATCGATAATGTTCGCACGGTATTCGCCAGTGCGTCACAAGGTAACCGAATTCATAGAGGAAATAATTGGAGTTTTCGTTTAAAACACTACGAAACACACACAGTTTTTTCAACAATCCAATTGTTTTGCAATTCCCATTTCATGCTTGGAAATTTATCGAAAATGTGAATTCACAAGCCAGCTATGGCTGATCGGTTATCACTTTATTTCAAATACGGAGGGTCTGTGGACTGTGGAATGAAAACTGACAATGATTCAAATAAAATACGGCAAAATGAAGCATTTAGACAATGTCGAACGTGAAGACCGCGTGGTCGTATTGATCGGACCGGCCGGTACTGGCAAATCAACGTTGATCGACTGCATGTGCAATTATTTCTATGGTGCCGAACTCAAAAGTAATGTTCGATATAAAATTGCTGATGAGGTAAGTAGCTATGGTTAAGGATAATTGAAAACTGATAATGATTCAAATGAGCGATTCCTCTGAGATGACACAAGCCTTATTACTTGCAAACGTTAGGGCATGAGTGATGCGTCTCATACGAGTCTTCTGAACTGTGGGACAACTGATCAGGGTTTCGTTCAGAACACGGAAATAACGCATTGACTATATCTGTAACATGTTGATGAACAATGCGTATCCACTGTCAATCGTTTCCACAGCTGAATTAAGACGCGCGAATGTAGTTTTGTGGATGCCTTTCGCAATGCGAATTTTTAAGAACAGACAAGCTGATACGTCTCAGTCATCATATTTGATTTTTACTGAACATAATATTCCCACTGAATTTCAGATTTTCGACCAAACAACTCCAAAGAAAACAATTATCAAATACGTTTTCAATGAGACTAGAATGCCATATCGACCCGTCGTTATCGACACACCTGGCATCGGAAGCGAGAGGTTATTCGGATTAATGCTTTTCTGTTTTCGGAAGAGACTTAAGTGCAGAAAGTGAAAATTGATGTATTAAAGTTCTATAAATACGAGATTGTAATATTCGACATAATCATCGTTCCTATTGAACGGTTAAGCTCTTGACCACAGCAGCTGAAGATTGTTTTCAAGAATGAAATTTAAATATTCGTGGCATTCTTTGATTCCCTTTGTTTGATCAAAGATTTCTTATCTGTCATCGTTTGAGCTATATTCTTCGAAGTTGTTCGTGCATTTTCCTCGCTAAGCATCACACAAATGAATATTTTATAGTGGAGTGCAAACAGATGCCGAAATCTCAGCAATGTTGAAAGGTTTTCTGCTGCAAAGTCATCGTGTTGTCATACACGCGATCGGCTTTGTATTGAGGCACACTGACATAAGAGTATCGGTAAAGCGTGAAGAACAAATCAAAGAGGTCTGTTTAAACTTTTCAGCAATATTTCATAATGCATTCGAATATGACTTAAACACACTACCAAATATCTCTTTGTCACTAAAACTGATCACATTTGCTATGAGCGTTTGAAAGCTGTTCGCAGGTTATGCGACCATTCTGAGAGACATGGATTTCTACCCATTGCAGTATGAGTTAAAATTGTTGGAAAACTTTTGCATGCTCTGTAGTTTTAAGCTGATTTGGTATCCATGTGAATATCAAAGTAAGATGAGCAAAATATGTGTTAATCAAGTGGCATGATTAGGAATCACTTGAAGAATATTAACACAATTTAAGACATTATCGATGTTTCCGAAATGGATGCTACCCAATGTGGTACCAATGTTGTCATCCAGTGATGGCACCGGTACAATACCGCCAGCGCTCGCAGCGTTGTTCAAAAATCTTGGTTTAAGTGAAAATCGCGTATTCTTCTTCAACAGCGGCTCCCTATTTGATGTCACTAAAGGTGAGCTGCTTTGAAACAAGTGTTCAGTCGGCGATTTTAACGCCATGACAGTTTCTTAAAGTGAACATGTGTAGAGTTTAACTTATGTCCTCAACCTATTCCGTTTAACTTCAGTAGAATTACAATCGAAACTTTTTCTCTCAGTGAACACGTGAAATCAAGGTAAGCGCATTAGTGTTTGATCATATATACTTGAGTCTTATCGCAGTGCTGCAAGTGACAAGACAATACAAAACCTTCGAGTATCCCAAAAGACTGATTGACTTTGTCGCATAAAATCATGGAGGTATGGAATGACATTGATAACATTTGGATGGAACATCCGTTTACACGTAAAATTTTACGGCAAAGACTAACACATATCACTCGAAGGAAGTGCGACGATACAAATACGGAGAGTTGCAAGCAGACTGTGATTCATCATGCAAATAAACCTTTTGTAGCTGTTCCATTCAAATGCCTGATTCTTTGCTTATTCCCACTGACTTCAACAGTTCGTACGTACAGATAGCGCACGTCTTACTCTCATTTTGCTTATATTGTCAATACTGACACTAAGTTATCGACACTGTTCATATTATTTTCTGTCACTTATTCCCTTTATAGCACCAGCAGATTCAGTTATCCATCAACCTAACTGTTTTTGTGGTTCTCCTGTTTAGGCGAACTTTTGAAGCTTATTTTTTAAAATTGTTATTTACACTTGCGCATATTCTTTTTCGTTTAGAATTTTCCCAACAATTCAAATCAAAGTCCACTGGTAGAGAACGAGACGAAACTGATGGATTAGAAATTCATGATATTGATATGGTTTGAATTTGTGAGCATAGCAGGATGATTGATGAGGAACAGTCAATTCAAAACACTTTCAGCTGAAGCAATAACAGCGCAGTTACGCACAACGTATTGGACCATGACAATGCAAGCACTGGATGACTTCTTTGAGCACGTTTCTCAGCTGAATCCACAATGCATTGCTGAACAGCTTCCGCCTTCTACAAGTCCATCTCTGGTGTTCGAAAAACAGTATAAAGACGGAATATATACACCTAATTATACACCTCCACCGCCAGCAGTTATCGATAAACGCGATGAAAATATGATTTCGTCCGAGTAGGTTCCATCTCAATCAACCATTCCCAGTAATGTTTTTGCTCTAAGGCAGCATTCAGTGATGCATACCATACCTCTGATGCATAACGTGGGTACACAAGCATCAGATGCGCATCGTTTCCCTATCTGAACGATTATGTTGATTCACAGTCCCATTCAATGAGAAATGAACTGAGCGATATGAATGTGGATCGGTTAAAATTGAAGTTATCAGTGAAAATGTGATTCTTATCTGACGTTCATATCTCTTCTTAAGAACGACGCAAACTGATGATGTGCGATCAAGTGATGAATAATGCTAATCAATATTTTAGTAGAACATTTTCGACAAGGTGGAGCACAAATGTGGCTCGAGATAGTGCTGATATGAAAGCGTCAATAAAAGACACGAGCAGTGCAACTGGTGCCTTATATTCAGTGAGTTTGTAGAATTGCATTTGCGAGAATGTTCTTATCAGAATCAATTGACTATTAACTTTCACCAATACGCTACTGCAAAATATCGATGAATGTTTTTCAGAAAATTCGTAAGACAAGTCAGCACGAATCTGTGGTGGCTGAAGAAAAAGCTCGTGAACGCATCATTCCAATCAAAATACTCAACGCACCATCGAAGGAGTACACTCAAGTTGGTTCTTTGCTCTTGCCTGCGAACATCCCTCTTCACTCTTTGTACTAATCTGAAAAATGTCTATTAAGGTCGTCGAGAGCCACAAATCACATTTCGATACATCATCTGAACGGCACACAACGATAAAAAGCGGAACAGAAATGGATTCAGAAGGCCGAAAATCGCATTTGGATACATCCACTGAACAACATCTAACGATACAAATGGAAACTGATGACGACCATTCATCACCGAAACGATATACGTATGATCCTACATCGATGTCGCATAAGGAACACAATCTTACGGATTCAGTTAGGAAAGAATCCACAACTGGTGAAGGGATCGATCTTGCTAAGGACACCACTGCGATTTTTATTGGAGATTCATCCTCTGGAGGTGCGCATGAACTGTGGATATTTTTTGAATGCATTATAATTATTCTTGAATATTGAGGACAATGCTTTTACTTTCTTTGCTGAGCGAATTGAAATGTGAAGTACGGAAATGTCTGGTGATTAGAATGTGTGAATGAGTCTATCATGCTTACTAAAAAACACTTCGTTTCGTCAACGTTGAAGTACAATTATCATTTTCATGTGATACATTCTTCATGTTTATTACAACGAGTGTGTTTTTTAAAGGAATTCCAACACGTCCTCATCGTGTACAAGAAACTTTGATAAACGATGTCCCGTTAGAAAATCTGGTGAATTCAAGTGGTTATAAACATATCAAAAGTTATCCACCACCAGAATACACTCCAGAGCAGACAATATCAAGACAACCACTCGCCAGAATTGCTGGAAATAATCAGCAGCACTCACAGAACATTCAGCAGCGTATAACGACTTCAATGGATGTTAATGTGGATGGATCAAAAGTTAGTTGTTTCTTTTTGAATTCTATCGGAATGAGTTCACAATGATATGCAATAATCAGGGGCGTGGCTGAAAACTGGCTGCATGAGACAGTTTGCATGAAAAATGCTGAGTTTGGATCTATCGAGGAGTAATTTTCGTAAACAGAGAGAGAAAGAATGATGAATTCGTGTGTGTATCCAAATTAACAATAAGCACTTTTTGTTATTCGATCAAGACATTATTTGTTAGCATATAATTGCTATTCAATTAAGCAGTCTTAATGGTGACTCAATGAATCTTGATAGTAGAAAAGGATCGATTCATTGTTGTGGATAGTTAATGACATTCAGTCTTTTGTGATGAGTTGATTTGCATCATTAAACGCGATCAGTATGTGCTGGTCCTATAATAAAACATACCTGAACAAGTACTTGCACATCACAGTAACAATTAAGACGGACGTCTTGCGAATAGCGCCGCAACGTCATTCGTACCATGAAACAGCCGATAAAACACCGTCTACAGCGCTCAGTGCTGCGTCCGATTGGACATATCAAGCGGCCAGTGAAACGAACGTGAATCAGTTCGATAGTAACACCCAAAGGTTGTTCAATCATCACAGATTTATGCTACATTAAAAATTTTACATTCTCCGTCATTTCGATGCAAAAAGATAATAATGTTTTTACACACAGTTCGTTACTGGAATCAAATTTACAGTTCTGATTTTCTTGCTGCCATATTTTAGCATGAGTTATTGCAGCGTTCTTCGTTCATTAGTCGAACAAACTTACGCAAAGATCTGATGATATACTCTTTCAATAGATTATTTCAATCAAATCAATGAGCATATTTTCAAAAACTTTCAAATCTTAAAGAATGTCAAGCACTCAGCAGCAACGCAACGACTTCATAATAACACCTCAGATGAGAACTTCGGATTCACCAGTTCTGTTTCGTGTCACTATGGGTAAAAAAGATAGAAATGTTCAAAAGATTGACGGCGATCAACAAACTCTCAATGTTAGCAAAGCACGCGAAACTAACATTGATGATGTCGCACCTCCAGTAAGTAAATCAAACCAGTGTTTTTTTAATCGTGTTGATAGACTTTGTGCTTATGAATGCTGCATATCTGGCTCGTTTTCTATATGACTGTGCGTTGATAATACGTCTCCTGTTGAATATCTTAATAGCGTAGTACAATAAAACGATTTGNATAATCGATTTGTTATGTAAGGGCGAATATGTGATGCATTACATCGTAACTGTCGTTTCATTACATTAAGATAAACCACTTAATGTAATACCATTCAATGATGAATTATTTCTGAGTCCGCGCAATGCATGAATGAAGTGTTAAAATTCGAATCATTAGCAGGAATACGACGGCAAATGGACCGAGCAAACCGTTCAATCAGCCGCACGTGATGAAAAAAATCTGAAAACTTCATCTTACAATGCGGATGTTATAACGGGATACGCTACAAGCTATGAGTACGGTGGTAATGCTGGCCCGATTCCCACTAAAACGACACCGAAACCAGCAGGTATTTTTTGGAATGAAAGTATCAAGGGGAATATTCATTCTGATCTCTCGCTCGTTGGTTTAAAAAAAGCCTCAGTAGTCAGTATTCGTGGGGGATGCATCCCTCTTCGTCTTCCAAAAATGCATCCCACAAACAGAACATAAAGTCACCATATATCTTCCAGTTGTCATCCTTCAGTTGACTACATTGGATTTATTTGACATTCATTATTCGTGCAGAGATAATTGAATATTCTAACTGTGTGCTCAATAGGTGAGACTGTCAACGGACAATACTATCAGAACATAACCGACGTCATGGAGACGAATATTGATGAGAACATAAACCAACGCAGTTCAGTTTACGCTCAGGATGCTGGTCAAACTGCTTTGCTGGTAACAACACCGACCTCGAAGGCATTCATTGCCACAAGTAAACATGATTTCACAATCTCACAGTGACTTGACACAATTTCACTCACCTGAACAATGTCGCTTCTTTATCTTAATGAGCTGTTCTTTTCGTCGCAAGCACTTTAAGCATAGTGATTAAATGATTGCATTGCTGTTCACTGCGAACATGCTAACTATTCTAACACATTGAATGAAAAAGAATTAGTCCCAGTACTCATATTTATCCGAGTAATACTCTTGATGCGGAAGAAATTTAAGTGCAGAATTATGCATCAAATCATCAAGTCATTAAAATTAGTCGTTAATAAGCATTGAGAAGGTTAGCCGGAAAGTTGATGCGAAATATTTTATGGTGGATGAAGCGATGCATATGTCAAAAAGAGCTGATGCTAGTTCAGCTATCAGTAAAATCAGTGGTGATTATGGTATTGTTTTAGGTGATAGAATGAGTGGATATGATCAATGTGTAGCTGCACAGCAGCGTGTTAGTGGCTACGGATATGGCGATACTCAAACAACAACTACAGTAACAACAACAATGCCCATTCGAACCAGTCCAACCACAGGTCAGTTCAAACCAACAACAAGACGGCTTTATCTTCGAATTTTAAGCCATCAAAAAAAANAAAAAAAAGCAGATGGTAGTGCGATGGGTCGTTATAAGAAAGGTGAAACCGCAGCAAATGTGAGGGGTCAAGGAGCTGCGATGCAACGCGTGAAGGGATACAGTCACGGTGATGAAGAGGAAACAGTGACCACAACAACTGCCACGACGAATATCACGAACGCAGGTTTGGTCAATGCATCTCGTTGCATCAGTTTTCTCATCAAGCTTGTCTGATTATCCGATCGCCTTGAAAAACAAACTGTATCCCAAAATTTGTCCAATAGCAACACACGGTGATTGAAATTTGTTGAAAACTCATTGAAGTCTAATGACGCTGTCTGATCTCGGTGCAAAAATAACCCTCTCTATCGTAAACCTCGCAAGATGCTTTCAAAAATTCACGCGGATTGCATCACGAACGATACAGCAGTATCTGTGTTGAAATATGAATAACCTGCTTTCATTCTCGGAAACACAGTTCGAAAACCAACTCACCGTTGCATACTTGTTTTGGTAGGGACATTTGCACTTTCAATCACACTGCAGAGTCCAGCAGTTCAATGCAACGATGAACAGTCTGGTGCATATTTGTTAGATGAGGAAAAAGCAAAAACTTTTATCCGAAGACCCGTTCGTTTTTGATATTTTTACTAGCAAATGATCCGATGTCTTTTTGCGAACAACCGCACCTGGAAATTGGTAAACGAATCAAATAATATACCAGGAGCAGGTGCTGTGAATGCAAGAGGTCAAAGGGTCAGCATGCAACGTGGACAAGGGTACAGTTACGGTGATGCAGCAGAGGAGGAAACAGCGACGACTACGACCACTACGAAAGGCATCGTCAGTACAGGTCGAATCAACTTGATTCTTTCGAACAAATATTTCTGATGAATAGATACTAAGTCTGCGATAGCTAATCGTGACAGGATATCGCACCTGTATTGCTATATACAGTTAACTTTTCATGCGTAGCTATTAGTAATTTTCAAAGGATGGTGAACTAGCATTACGATAACATTGAACATATTTCTATGATAATATAGCTGATGAAAAGTTCAAGTGGAATATCCATGAAGATAACTAGAAGGACTGTTCAGGTGGTGCGAGTGCGATGCATGGAGGAACTCAGGTGGCTTCAGCACGACTCAGTACAGGTTATGGTGACGATGAGGAAACACTGACCACTACTACAACTAATAAAAACATCGCAAACATAGGTTCAACCAATTGGCTTCATTGATTTGATATCTCTTTTTGCTAACAATTGAACCTGAAGTTGGTAAACTTTTGAATGGATCAGTTCGAACGAATTGTTCATTTCACTGATTTTCCTTTACCTTTGTGTTATTTTGCGACGGTTGATATAAGAAAGTTCAAGATTTGGACACGGATATGTCATTGCCAACAAGCCTGCTCTTAGTTTTTCGCACAAATATTGTTAGATTGAAAGAACACCTTTTTTGGCGCTAAAGGTTTCATCAAACTGACAAATCGTTCTGAATGATTGAAAAGAACTTTTCAGGAGGGGCAAATGGCCAGCGTCGTCAACCAGGTGTCTATGGACGACAAGTTCAGTCTGCGATGAAGAAAGGTTCGCAAGGATATGGCTATGACGAAGATGAAACAACAACAACTACAACAAAAACTATTGATGGTTACGGTAGATTCTCAATTATTACTCATTTACTTATGTTCACTGCAGATTGTTAATACTCGAATGATGTTCTCATTGGGAGTTATGTCCCGAGCAAGATACCTCACGTTATAGTATTACGAATGAATCGTGTCCTTAGTTGATCGAGAACGAAATTATCGTTGAGAATGCAGAAGATAAGAGTCGAATGCAGAAGTGTCCTAATATTTGGAGTAACATCAGGTGGCGACGGTGCATTTTCACCGCAGAAGCAGGGTGAAATGGCTTCTTCGAATCGAAGAAGTGGTGCCTACGGTGAATACGATGATGAAGACGAGTTTACGACGACCACAAAGAGTGTTACAACTGCAGGTGGAGGTTATTACTGCTGCTTCGATCATGATTGCATCAGTTGATTATTGTTCATCTGGTCATCATTATCTGATGGGCAGTAATTGGATGGCTCTTTTGATTTACACAAGAATCACCTGTAGATGTTCACTCAATTCGGGAGGGCATCAAATGAATGGTAATGCTGTTTTTGCTGTTGAAGGTGGTGGAGGAGTGCCACGTGTTCCTTTGCATCAGACACAACAAGCGTATAGAGGTGAGCGAATGGGAAAGTCAGGATATGGTTATGACGACGATGAGGAAATAACGACCACAAAAACAACTGGTGAGTTGCTCATCGACTCAGAATTACGATAACAGCCAACTCCAGTTATAAGCATGATAACAGTCAACTCCTAAACGCCCAAGTGTGAATTACATCTAAAGTACTTTCAAACAATCCAGCCACTAGCTTGGATGAAAATGAAGTGAAGACGACTTTTCAAAATTGTTTTTGAAACTTCTCGAAGTTGTTTGGTTTAAACTAGAAATTCCGACTCTACATGTAATTTAACAATCTCATTCCATACCAATCATCACGCTGCAGTTGGACTTATGAAGGATGAAAATCATAATTTTTTCTCTACTTTCACCATTAGTTTTGTCTTTGTCCTGACTAGAGAGAAATACAGTTTAAGTACAGGGTTGATAACTTCACTGAAAATGTTTCAGCCAGATATGACTTGCCACCAGGAAACATCGAATCTGCCGGTCAAGACTATCGAAATGGTTAGGATAAACTTTTTGAATGAATTTCAGAAATGACTGGTTCAATGGAAATAAATTTTGTAACATACTAAAGATATGCAAAGCGATGAGAAAATTGTCAAAAAAAAGAGAAAATTAGAAGAATTTTAGAAATGATCACAAACATTTGCATCACTACAAACAGCCCATTTTCAGAGGACGTTGAGAATCAGTGGCAATCTCGAGCCGAACGCGACGATTTACTCGGTCATCGTTCATCATTTCAAACGCAGCAATACCCAGTTCCTCCCAAAAATTACTTGGAGAGGTCGGTCATTTACGAATACGCGATCGATCAACATTCCTCCTATCCGAAAAGTTCCAATAGCCATCTTTCACAGTTCTTTCACTCTCAATCAATTCTTTCCGAATGTTTTCACAACACTCCACTCGAACGTTCAACCGTCATTTTCTAACTCAGCATCGAAAAAGCTATTTTAGTATGATAAGGCTGGAAAGAAGTATNTATTGCTGAATAGTTTATTTTATATAGCATCCTGAGCACTCATATATCGCAATCATGAATGTTACAATGACGAGTGATAATAGCAATTTCAGTGATAGAGACGACTTAAAGTCATCTCCAACTGAGCGAATCGATCCTCGTAAATCACAAAAATTTTGGTTTTTAATGCTATGTCCCTTGATTAGCGCTGCAGCGATTTGCACATTCATCATAACGCTTCATTTTGTTTTTCGAAACAGCAACTAACCAACATTTTTGTATTTGTTCGTTTGCTTAAGCGTTTAACTTCTTCAAACTAATCTCAATCGCTCGCGTCCTCGTATCAGTTCGACTTTTTTCGGCGTCAAACTGATTGATTCCTCTAACTTTTAGCACTACATTTTTTTCGGATTGTCCACCAAATGTCCATCAACTTATAATTCAGCTTGAAAAGTCACTGAATTTGGAGTTATGTTTCCTTCAAGAGAGGGAAATTCATTGAACTCAAAACATGAAAATGTGCTGAAGTGTGCTGATCTGAGACTGATTCAGAGGTTTCGTTCCGTTGGGTGATCCAGTTGACGGGCAAACAGAACCGGCAAAGAAGAGGACAATCAATTGCTGCGATATAATATTTTTTGTAATTGCACCTTGTTTCATAATTTTAGTTATCGTAGCAATTGTACTCACACTTGCATTGACTTGAAATATTACCATTTTTTGAATTCGGTTTTTATGTGATTTTCATTGTGGAACGGGGTAACATTAAAAAAANAAAAAAACGAATCAAAGATAACAAAATATGATGAATCTTAACAGAAAAATGAAAATTTCGTTTACGTTGCCGTTTTACAATGTAAATGGGAAACTTCAAGAAAATTTTGTCGGATCCAAAGTAGAGAAATTCCGTGAAGTGGATCTTTAAAAATCTTATTTTTAACATTTTGTGCAGCTAGGAGACGAGATGATGCATGATTGCGCATTCGAGCACATTTATTTGCTTAATAACATCACATTTATTAGCCCAGCGAATTTCTCATTACAAATGATAGCGAATTTTTGACGAGTAATCAACCGAATATGATTTTCATTTTGTCATACACAAAGAAACAATCTAAACTTTCAACTTATCATTCATTCCTTGTTTCGAGATGTTACATATCATTTACCATTCCCTTGCCTTTTGTGACTTTTATTGTAAATAATATCATCAATTAAGCTGGTCATCCACATTTTCGTCTCGTTTTCGCAGAATTCTTACTTGCTTAGTTTCATGCGTGGACATTGATTCATCATGCGGGTGGAACTCGGAACAACGACTTTTCCGCGTCTGTGTCTAAGTTACCTTAATCAGCAACTGCTTTACCATTCTTTGGATAATCTGATTATCTTCATTGATCAACACATTTTCTATTCTTGTAAGGATCAAATGAATTGTAATATTTTATATACATTGTGTTGCTGAGTTATTACATTGTTTGCGTGATTCAGATAATAAAGTTCGGTTAATGTCTTCGTGTTTTCAAGCACAAAACCGACACAATCAGTTCATTCGCAGAGGATTGCTAGTTTTTGGTTGCGTTCACAAAACCAGTCGTATTCCACCTCCAATTTCATCATAATTGACAAATTACGACCGAGTTCCTCCCGATTTCTTCTTATTCACATCATATTTTCGAGTATTTTTGAACAAGTTTCGAACAGTATCAACCATCAGCGGCCGCATCAAAATTTGTCGTGAACATTCCTCCAACTAATACTGAGACATCAGGTCAACCTTTGAGATGCACTGTATCGTATAGGTGAGCGGGTCGATATACGATGAATAGACACATTATTGGAGGTTGCGTGGTGGACAGGTGTGGGTTTGGTGGTGTCCATGGTTACGTCAGTAATGCATTTGCATGTGGTTATAGGGTGGTTGACTGTTAAGGCAGTAATTGCTGATGTATGTATCAAATCGGTATTTCTACATTCAACTCCATCTATGCTACCATCCTCCAAACTTTTTTGTGTCGTCAAGCAAAATGGTGAAATTTTCGTGCAATTACGAATTTGCTACTTGCAATTTTTAATTTTTGCAACTACGAATTATATGAAGTCATACGTACATTTTACAGTGGTGTCCATTCTCCATTTTAGTTTCATTGAAATCTTGATGGTAAACTATCGAATCATTGTGTTTATAACTGGGCTTCGTTTGCGCTTGAGAGTAGGTCCGTGGAGATTTTTGGACATGTGTAACTCTTGATGGCAATAGTTGAGATTGTCTGCTTGAGCCGACTCGTGAGTAAGAGCAGAACACCACTTGAAATTGTTCAGAAACTGATGAATATTCCTTCACGAATTGGAAGTATTCGAACGCATTTATAATGATTACAGCAATGAGCAAAACCTACGATGAACCATTCACGGTTCGTAACGTTAAAGAATTTGATAGATTGATTCCACCAAAACAACGACAATTCCAACAGCAGGGAATGGCAACACTAAACGTTCGTTTCACACACATTTTAAGTTCATCTGATACTGTCTTCATTAGGTATACACGATCTTGATTCATTTTCATTTCTATCTTCATCACTGAATTAATTCTGAATCCATAGATCAGAAATATCCGTTTCAAATCCAAAATAATGCGCAAATTACAGCTGAACAATGTGATGATGATCGAAACAAGTGATTCCGACAGGACAGCATTCCAATATCCGACGTCCATTTTCTCTGATGAATGCGCCGGAACTGCTTTCATAGGTCCATTTTATTAAATTCAAAATTTCAGACTGCTTATTCGCAATGTGCGAAAATCCGTCCGAGAATGTAAGTTTAGAGTCAGCTGAATGGTCCCCAAAAAGTCAGTTTTGACGTAAAAGTCGATGACCGTTCACTCAAAATATCCAAATTATCGATACTCGAAATTTCATGAACGAAATTCAGTGAACATCAAATCACTTCGATTATGTTAGATATGCATAAAAATTTTGGCTGTCATTATTTGTCTTCGTTGGAAAGATGTTTTGAAAGAGTCGATGAAGGCATTGAACAGAAATGAGTGTGAAGGATATATGTAGGATATAAGAAATTCGTTTAAGCATTTTCAGCCAGAGGAGCAAACCTCAGTAGTGGATGTTATTTTTCGTGGTCAACGTTCAGCTCATCCGAATGTTTGAACAATCAGTTTTTGAACGCTGAATACTATGTCAAACACCACTTTGTTCAGGTAATCAGTTTGCAATAACTTGGATCAAGGAAGGCTAGACTTCTAAATCAATTTGATTTGTTTCTTAGATCTTGGTTCAGACGGTGAGCTAATTTATTTCAAGTATTTTCAAGCGAGCGTATCGTACAAAATTGCGGTATGTTTATGAGGACTGTGAGCAGAGATCAGCTCGCAAAGCGAACTGATACGAGAGCTAAGAATGCTCACTTTAATAAACGCCAAATTGTTCAGTGCAGTATCATTCTTTGATCACTACGCAAGTATTCAAATCATGTTCAGACCTTTCACAATGACTCGACGTTGTTCGATATATATACGAATGAGATTCGGCACACTATGTGGTCCAATAATCTGTGCGAAAACGTCGTCAATAAGGTAATACTTTCTCGTGCCACTCAACCGATCTAATATTCTTAATTATCACAACTAATCACCGCAATAATTTCAATCGTGACAACTAAATTGATAAGTGTAAGCAAATGTAGGTATCATATAAGGCAGTACCCAAACGCATTGATAAGGAATGATTATTTCTCACACTGGTTTAGGATATCATATAAGGCAATAGCCATTCGTGTGAAAGTTCTCGGTTAATTCAATCAAATGCATTGAGCAGTAAATCAGTTGATTTTCAGGTTTCACTCACATTTGTCACTAGTGGTGATTCAGCGAACAATATGAACGTCACAATTATGTTCGTCTATGGTGCGGTTAGCAAAGAAAACTTCACAAAAATTCCCTATCATATTGATGTGAACTTCAAGCATTTGCAAGATGTGATTGCAACAAAACCATCGAGCATGGATCTTGCTGGTTGCCTCAATGGATATGAACTAAAAGATCGGATTCCTGTTTCTGATGGTTATATGAGATTACCGTTCCGGAGTAAATGCAATGAAACATTTACGAGAGATATCCGATTTGGTGTTGATACATCAACTGGCTGTGAATTGAGGTATATTCGGTGTGCAGTTATCTCTGTGCGTTCTCGCAGCCAGATAAGCATGAAGAGTGCTTGGAAATCAGATTGCCCGAGAAAACTGCCTGGAATTCTGAGCACTGTGCACAAAGAATGTTCATTTTTAGCTGATATTGATAAGGACTGAACGAATGTGCTTTTCATTTATAAACAGTCAATAAGAAACTAATGAATTAACTTAATTGATAAAAGTTTGCACTGAATACGACCACAGTTTATCACATTATTCTAGCTTATCTACCTGTGGCTCACTCAAAGAAAGGATCTCTGCGTTGTTTGCTGATTTTAACTTCTCGAATATTTCGTCATCACCTACACGGGATTCCAAGTACGCAAAAGTTCTGCTCGATAATGAACCACCTGTTTTGGTATGCTTACGATTGCGCAAATTATTTATTTAACAAATATACTTATACTGATTCTGTGGATCACAACGGTAATGCCAATAGAGGCGATAACGAATGAAGACAACAAGCACTGAATTAATATCATAAAAAGAGCGATAAGAGTTACAAGTATTCAACTGATCGGCAACATAAAGCGGCTTGGTGGTTTGTAGGGTTGACAGTATTAGCTGGAGGGATAATGAAAGCTGTGCACAAAAGACAATGCCTGTGAGATACAGTAAATGCAGTGATCGCATGAGTGCATTCGATCATGATCAGCTGTAATTGCTGATCAGGTTGCGAACTGTCGAAGAACTGACCATCAAACTGTTTTTTATGTTTCAGCATCAATCGTCAAACGAATGTCAATTAGTAACAAGCTTAAC